GCATATGCGACAGATTTGTATGTTTACAAATGTGTACATTCAAATACACAAAACTAAAAAAAAAAGGCAGGAGTCCCCAAAACAATTACAATGCATATTAACTGAAATAATAGAATAGGATAGGATAGGATAGGATAGGATAGGATAGGATAGGATAGGATAGGATAGAGCAGAATTCTTTATTGGCCAAGTGTGATTGGACACACAAAGAATTTGTCTTGGTGTAAATTCTCTCAGTATACATAAAAGAAAAGATACATCCATCAAGAGTCGAGAATCATAAGGTACAACACTTAATGATAATCATAGAGTACAATAAGCAATCAAATCATACTAGGAAACAGTCAATATAAATCGTAAGGATACAAGCGACAAAGTTACAGTCGTACAGTCACAAGTGGGAGGGGATGGGTGATAAGGAATGATGGCAAGATTAACAGTAATAGTAGTGCAGACTTTGTAAATAGTTGAACAGTGTTGAGGGAATTATTTGTTTAGCAGAGTGATGGTTTTCAGGAAAAAAATGTTCTTGTGTCTAGTTGTTACGGTGTGCAGTTGCTCTATATAACTTCATTTTGAGGGAAGGAGTTGAAGCAGTTTATGTCCGGGATGTGAGGGGTCTGTAAATATTTTCAGTCTTCTTTTTGACTCATGCAGTATACAGTATGATAGCAATTGATTAAAACCAACTGCCAATGAAACAAGGCACCTCATGTGCGGGTCTGCACAAACCATTGTTTCACATACTAGCTACTATTCTGTCACACATTTACTCACTTTCACACAGGAGATTGTAAACTCAAGGACACCTATGCATTCCTTCTGCCATAAGTCCCATGGAGTTCTGAGGTACTCAGTCCCACATAATTAAGTTTCTGATTTTTGGACCTGTTTAGAGTACTAGCCCTTTTCTGTCCCCCCCACCCCATTCCTCTTTATACAGGTTGTCCTGTATTTATGGCCACAATTGAGCCCAAAATTTCAGTTGCTAAGACAAGACAGTTGTGTTCTGACCCAAAACCTGGTTCCAAGACAACAAACACAAGACAAAGGCAGCAGTATAATCATTTTATGTTTCAGCTAAGAATCCTGTTTCTTCACAGGTAAAAGGCTGCTTCCAATTAATTACCTCCAACAAGAAAGAGCCTTGCCAAGTTTTTTCAAGTCTGCCAAAAAACAAAAGATAATAAACAGATTACAAGAGTCTTCAAATACCAACTGTAATGTCCATGAGGCTGAGTTCAAAATGCCTTTGTCTTCTGCAAAGTATGTTCTTTCACAGCTGGCTTCTATCTTCTTGAAGGAAGGGGCCATTACCTTGCAGCCTTACTCCCGAATCGCCCGTGCTGCTGCAGCTGCTCTTTCCTGTGAGCAGCCCTGCACACACGTGCACTTGGCACAGGCTCCTCGGGAACCTCCTCATCGCTGCTGCCAGCCCCCACAATCTCTGAAGGCAGCAGTCCAATCTCTAATGGTCCTGGCCCCTCATGTGAATCCTCATTCTCCTCAGCCGTCCGCACCTGCTGCCAGCTAACCACAACAAGTTGTTAAGTGAGTTTTGCCCCATTTAATGGCCTTTCTTGTGACAGTTGTTAAATGAAACACTACAGTTGTTATGTTAGTAACACGATTATTAAGTGAATCTGGCCTGCTCACTGATTTTGGCCATCGGAAGGTCGTCAAAGATGATCACATGACCTTGGGACACTGCAACCATCATAAATACATGCCACTTGCCAAGTATCTGAATTATGATCATGTGGCCAAGGGGATGCCGAAATGGTTGTAAGTGTGAAAAACAGTTTTGTCAGTTTTTTTCAGTGCAGTTGTAATTTCAAAGTCACTAAATGAATAGTTATAAGTTGAGGACTACCTGTATAGTGATTGAGGACTGCAATACCCAGTCTCCAGGGGTGAAATTCAACAATTTTCCCTACCAGCTCTGTAGGCGTGGCTTGGTAGGCATGGGACTCAATCTCTAAAAGGAAGAAAGTAGGCAGGTGTGGATGGAGCCAACCAATTGGAATTGTCCCTACCACCTCTCCTGAGATGGTACGAGGTGGTTAAATTTTACCCCTACCAGTCTCCCTGTCCATGGAAACTCCAGTGATTAAGGTTCTGAATTTTCTTAAATCCTCACTGGGATGGACAACCATGTGGCCAGAGAAGGCTTTTATTCTCCCCATGAGAGAGATACATAGCTTCATGAGCAAGAAGGTAGACCTAAAGACATTGGGGGTGTCCCCTTGAAGCAGAGGCACTAATTTCTTCTCCATTTCTCTTCCCGTTCTTCCATTGACTTGTCTTTCCATTGCCTACCTTGCTTTCTTTGCTTTCAGTAGCATCTTCCATTTTCCCTGTGCTCTCAATGAATGTATTTCAGCCTACATGCATTTCAACTGTGCTATACAGAATGTCAATTTCAGCAAAATTGGCATAGAATAGAATAGAATAGAATAGAATAGAATAGAATAGAATAGAATAGAATAGAATAGAATTCGTTATTGGCCAAGTATGATTGGACACACAAGGAATTTGTCTTGGTGCAAATCCTCTCAGTGTACACAAAAGAAAAGATACATTTGTCAATAGTCAAGAATCATAAGGTACAACATTTAATAATAGTCATAGGGTACAATAAACAATCAAATCATAGTAGGAAACAATCAAAAAATCGTTAGGATACAAGCAACAGTTGGTGTGTTGTTATGTTAGGGATGGTACATTATTAGATGCTACTCATGGAGCCTGAATTTCCCACTCTTTCACAACTGCAACTATTTTATAATCTCTTTCCAGTTATCTAGACCTCCTATTCTGTGGACACCTTAATGCCTCCTGTTTGCTCTTGACTTCAAAGTGAGTCTTTTTTCTTACACCTTGATAAAACTGCATTAAAAAAACAACACAGATCTTGTTAAACGATTAAGAGATTATGAAATTGCATTTATGGTAATCTATAACCTTCTGCTACAGGATTGATTCCAGCTTCAAAATAATTGTCAGCTGAAACATCTGTTTCTTTAACTAGTCTTCTGTAGGAGAGTATAATACTGCTACATTACATGATTGGCTGAACAAATAAACTTTCTGCATGCATTAGCTAGCCTTTAACTTAGAGCTTTTATGTAGCAATGCTATTTCGTTTCAAATTTCAGAAGATGCGTGAGCAGGGAGTTTCATTGCTGTCTCATGAAAACTGTCAATACATGAAGAGTCAGATCTACATACTGATCGGTTCACTTGTTCTCAGAAACATGCTTGTACTGTATTCAGATTGGTAGAATTTCTCTAGGATCTGCCTCTCTATAGTCAGGTATGTGACTTTCTTTCTTTCTTTCTTTCTTTCTTTCTTTCTTTCTTTCTTTCTTTTCAAAATTTAAACTAGATGAGACCAATAGAAACTACACAAATAGATCAAGACTTCAGATTTAGAATAATACTTGAAATAATTTTCAGTCATGATAATTAGAAATGTTTTAGCAGTTGTATGAAAAATTATAGTTATGACCAATGCCATGTTGGGATTGCTTTTACTATATTTTGAGAAAATCTAGGGTTTCATTGGACTTCAGATATTGTTAACCTGTGTCTTGCAGAATTGGTAAATATATGTTGCTTATTTAACAGAGACATTTTTGTGATAATTCACAACATTGTTTCAAAAGTATTTCCTATCAGAACTGATTATCAGTTCAGTCCTGTGCATGTATAGTATGTGTCAACTAAGCAAGAGATAATACATAATTTTAAAAAAATCTTCTTTGAAATAACCTAATCTGATTAATTCAAATTGGCTAACTAAATTTGAATATTTTAGTATTAGGTAAAAAGTACATTTTATCAGCTGTTATATTACTATAGACATTTATAAATGATGTAGAAGTACATAGTTTTCTATTGGCAAAAATAGGCTGGACAAATAATTTTTTATAGAGTTAAGTGTATGATATAATAAAATAAATATTCTAATTCTGTTTTAATTACTTTTTATTTGAGTGTGCCAAAATCTATTTACATTGATATTTCCAAAATGATATTTTTTAATCTCAAAACTAAATATGCAATAGAAAACTAAAAAACTCCAAATGAATATTTTTTTTGCTTGGTTTCTCTTCTTATAGCTAATGTGCAATTATGCGACCGGTGCATGTTTAGTTTTCATTTCTATATATTTTGCTTCATTTTAAATTCACATCAAAGACTTGTGTTGATAATAAGTATGAGACAACAGCAAGTTTAACTTATCTTTCTTTTTCCTTTCCTTTTTTTTAAAAAAAGCACTGGGCTCTAGCTAAATAACAGAAATCAGGATAATTGCAGCAAGCAAGTCTGTTTGTGTGCCTTTTCTCCTACATAGATATAGTCCACCCTTTCATTTCTGTTTGCTGGAATTTGATGATTTGTGGCTGGCTGCACCCAGGAGCAAGTGCAGCCACACAAACACACTTTGCCATACTGTATCTCTGTTACACTGTAGTCTTCCTCAGGGTCATTGCACTGTACACATTACATATTTCTAGCAAACACGAAAATGAACAAAACAAGAAGTCTAGATAAGCAGAGATAAATTGGAGCCAGCTTATTACTAAATACAGTGTAAACGGACAGAGCTTTTGAATCAGCGCCTCTCTGTCCTTTTCTCCCGTGCCTGTTTTTGACTACTAGAACTACATATTGTGAAAAATTAAATGACTAGAATAGTGGAACAATTATTTGGTAGAGATCCAGAAGCAATTGTGTTTGGAGTGATGTTTAAACCAATGTCAGGGAAGGCAAATACCTGGCTCAGTGCCAGCACCTTTGTAAAGCATATTAGCTCAGATGAAAAGTTAGACTCTGAAGCAGAAAGAGAAAGCCAAAGAGCTCCTGGTGCTTACACTCACCTTGCTTGTGTCTTCTTCTGGCTGGGATAAGCTGGATACATGCATGGTTGCATAACGTGGCTGAGGAGCACACTTTTGGCAAATGTTTCCACTCGATTTCTGCTCCCTTTCCAGGTGGACAGCCGGCTGCTGATTCCTCTTCAAGCACGGAGCCTAGATAATGCGACTTGTTCACTGCCACTGACAATGACCATGACCCTTCACACAAAAAGCTCTGGGGTTGCCTTATTGCACCAAATACAAGGCAATGAATTAGAGCCTCTCAGCAGACCACAGCTGAAGATTCCTCTGGAACGACCGATCAGCGAAATGTATGTGGACAGCAGCAAGACTGGGGGGTTTAACTACCCAGACGGTGCTGCCTATGATTTTTCCACTGCCGCTCCAGTGTACAGCTCAACCAGCCTCAGTTATGCCCCTGCGAGTGAATCGTTTGGCACCAGCAGTCTGGGAGGATTTCATTCCCTGAACAATGTTCCCCCAAGCCCTGTTGTCTTTTTACAGTCGGCTCCACAACTTTCGCCTTTTATTCATCACCACAGTCAACAGGTACCTTACTACCTTGAGAACGAAGCAACCAGTTTCGCCATGAGAGAAGCTGCTCCCACAGCATTCTACAGGTAAGTCCCATCATTGCTTTCTTCCTTTCTTTTTCTTTTCTTTCTTTTTTTTAAAAAAAATACAATATGAAAAAGAGAGTTAAGGCAAGGGAGGGGGAAATTCATTGTTAGAATGGGTATGCCTTCAGGATGATTGAGTCACTGCTGAATAATTAGAGATTGTATTAGCATGCTGAAAATTAAAATCTCTGTTATGACTGCTAAACAACTGTTGTTGCTGTGTATGCTAGAAATGAAGTGCTTATGAAAAACAAATCAGATTTCCAACAGCAAATCTGTAGCCTGGAGAAAAACCAGAACAGAAGCCCCAATACTGAGTTATGAAAACAATAAACTGAAGCAAAACAAAACCTCCCCAGAGTGGAGGTGCCGGGAAATTAAAGTGGACGATGCAAACTTCAGGTTTTGACTACTCTCACTCCAGGCTCTTCCTGCTCTGAATTTGTGTAGCTGAATTTGCACTCCGTTGTCAGAAATATTTTGTTCCTTGTCTGCCTTTATATTGCACTGATTGACTTTTATATAAAACGTCCAGGATACCTGATGATTCATCTTCCCAAACAGTCATATAAATGACATGAAGAGAGCATAAAACGGCCTTTGGAAAGTACACTTAAGGCTTTGGAATGGAAGGCACTTTCTTTCTGCACGCAGAGAGAAAGTCTGTGATTTAAAACAGTGTTTTCCAAATGTATTTTCCCTACAACTCAAATATTCTCATCAAAGAGCTAAGACCTAATTTTAAACTGTCACACACACACTTTTAGGAAAACAAGGGGGAGTACCAGATCACTATAGGCCTGCAGCTGTAAAGAGGCTCTGGAGATCTTTGAAGTAGGTGGCTGCTGCAATGGTGTCAAGATAATAAAAACGAAACATAGTAGGCATTGTTTCACTCTGTCAGGTTTACAAGTAGCTAATGCAGAATTCAAATAAAAAACGCAGATGTATGCACTAGGCATAATGGATTTAGGATCAAGCTACCTATTATGCTAGATTTGCAGTGTGCAGTTGCTCTTTTACTTTCTAATTATTCAAAAGCAAGTATATGGTGTTCCTAATCTGAGTGAAGACCGCCACATGTAGTGTAGAAAGTTTAAGTTCATCTCATAACTATTTGTCTTCCTAGTTACTATCCATTAAAAAAGAAGAAGCAAAGAGAGCCTCCACTGGTTCCTGAATGAGAATTTGGAAAAAAGACAGTGGGACAAACATGCGCACAGAATAGGCAGGAGAACTTAACATAAATGCATAAAAATATGCCTGCATTACTGAAAAGAATATCCCAGTCGGATCTGTTCTCCATTTGTTATTTTGTTTAACGTTCTGCAATAAAATATGGGCTTAATTTTCATAGGTGGAAATTAAATGTTAAATGTTTAACTGTTCAGTTATTTTGCTTTTCACTTTCCATTCCTAGACACTTTAGAAAATTTGTGATTTCTGCTTCACAAACCATAATTGGTATGTGGTTGATTTTGTGCCCTATTTATACCGCAGAATGTTTTTTTTTAAAAAAAACCCTCGAACTCACTAATTTTAAATGTTTAGCTAATATTACAAATTGCACTCTTCCTAGATATTGGTGAGAAATGAAACCAAACAGGTGAAATGACAGTTGCAGAAAAAGAAATAAATAGAAACTGTATAGTCCTTGGTGTTCTCTGAGCTTGGTTGTTTGCCGGAAGATGTTTCATTACTCAAAAAGAAGTCAATAACAGATCCAACCGATCCATTCATTTTGTGGGGATAACAAGAAAAACTTATTTTAACTACAAGATGAAAGACCGAAAATCAGGAAGAAAGGATCTGAAAGTGTTTCTCACCTGAATGGAAGATATGCCATGTGTAGTGAGACCACTTGTGGATTTTGAGGAATGGCCATATCTTGACATCTATGTAGGGTGGAGGAAAAGCACTCCATGTTCCCTCTCGGCAATTGTCTTCTTGGCAGCCCTTAAAAAAAAAAACAGCAGTTGATTAGTACTACATTTGAGGAATGCCCAATGCCTGTAATTCCATTAGGCCAAATCCTCAAAAGTGGGGATTTTGCTGATAGTAGCAGAAGGTGATGGGTGTCCTCAGACAACTATCATCCAGAATGGCTCTCTACCATTGACTACTTCAGGCAGTTTAAAGGAACTGAAAGACAAGGCTAAGTCTAGATACTTCTTTGTTTGAGTCTGAGGATAACATTCTCCTTCCATGTACAGGAAGCAGATGTAAGGACAATGGGGAACAGATCACCTGAATTGCTGGCTGCTTCTCTTCATTGGAGGGAAAAACTGTGTAGGGCATTTTAAGGTCTTTGACTGCCAACATATTGACATGGGCATATATCTTTGCTTTCAACAAGTCAGGGAATTTAGGAGGAACACCTACCTCTGATGTTACCCAGGTGTTTGCTATTCTAATTTTACCCAAACAACTACTTGGACCTGGGGATCTGAGTTCTCTTTCCTCCATAGATTTTTACAGGGAAAGGGAAGAGAAAATACTTGATATTCTAGGATGTGATCTTATCATTTGTAGTGGGGCATAATATTTCATTGTGGTGTAATTTTCTAATTCAGATAATGGGAACATTTTAACAAATATGAGGATATAAGTATATTTTGAAAGGTCTTTGCTTTCTCGTTTTTGCCTGAGGAGCAAGAGGGAGTGTGCTGCGTTTTGTTGCTATGACATTCTTCAGGTCCAAAGGATTTCACAATCTTACATTTCTTCATTTTTTTAATTAAATATTCTTGGTAAATTTAAAGACTGTGATATAAAGTTAAATTATTGCTATGATTTGTATATTCTATATATTCTATATTCCTTTAATAGCCATGCAGTGATTGTAACACCTGTCTCTTGAATTGGCCAGTGATATTTTTAATAATTGTACAGTGCAATTCTACACAGGTTTATTTCGAAATAAACCCAAGTTACCATCAGATTTATTTCCAAAAAGAGTGAGGACATGACTACTATTTTATCTATCTGTCTCTTATATATTTGGTGCTGTTTTTTTAAAGTTAATTTTTATTAGACTTGAAGGAAATAGTTCAGTCTTGATAAAGTGTTATTTATTATGTTTGTGGTCAGGAAATTTCTTTTTTGTATTTTCCTCCTATGATGGTTTTCTTTTTTTGAAGATTTCTTTCATTTCATTTTATTTTTGGTAATATTAATATAACACATCCTGAAAATAATTTATTCAGAAAGAAATTTCCCTGAAATGTACGCTTATATTCTATAGAACTCTCTCTCTCTCTCTCTCTCTCTCTCCACCCCCAACATGTTTATTTGAAAACAAATTCTATTTTGTTCGATTACAGCCTTGCTATGCCATAATGATTTGTATAGTCACAATTTTCCTTGAATTATAGGGCTAGAAATGAATTATTCCCAGGTTCAGAGGTTGTGCTTTGACTAAGAATTTTTATCTAATGCAAATTAAGTAGAGTACTAGATATTATGACTAGATGTTACTATAATAAAGCTGGAACATTTATTTGTATCTTTGGATGTTGAAATAATAAAACAGGAGAGATTTTAGCCTTGCATTCTTGATTCACAAAGTGACCAATATAGAGTTGCATAGCATCTGGGTAGAAAAAAAATGTTTTCCTGTGATTAATTCTAAATTTCATATAGTAACTGAGAGCTGTCTCCAAGGAACAAAAGACATTGTTACTACTGATATTTGTTACCAGGAGTCTCTTATGAAGATGCTTCTATAAAAGGTTATAGTTGTAGACTATGATTTTTTTTTAAAATATCACATTTGCCTGAAATATGTACACTGGTAACATTGATAAACTACTATTTCTACTGACACTTTTCTGTTCTCCTAGTCTGCTATGAATTCACTTTTTCCAGTACGCAGAGATCATAAAGATAGTAGAGGAATGCTGTTTTTAAACTTCATTACCTTCATTTTCCCCGCAAACTCTGTGAAATTAGCTCTTGGTGGCAGCCAAAGAAGAATGTTCTGTCTTCTACAAGGTTTTTCTTTTCCTGGCTACAAAATGGGAAAAACCAAGATATGTATCCAACTATTTTCACTTGGTACAGATGAAGATTGGGTTCACTTTTTAACCTAGTTCGAATCTCCCCGTTCACTATTCCATTAGCTTTGATGATACTATGACATTACAGCTGGCTGTTTCTGTAATAAACCATGAGTATTGATTCCTACCTTTGGATGCTTCATAAATAAAACACAGGAGATGTAAACAAAATTTTCACCTCTAAATAACTTCAAATCTCAACAAATAAATGCTCTATCTAATATATTGGCAAAAAAAAATCAGAAAATAAAATACAAGCTGAATAGTCAAGCCTTGTTGATGATCCAAGCTCCATAAAGGACCTTGGAATACTCATCTCTAATGAATTAAGTACTAGAGCCCACTGTAACTACATAGCCAAAAAGGCATTAAGAGTTGTTAACCTAATCCTACGTAGCCTTTTCTCTGGTAATATCACACTACTAACTAGAGCATACAAAACATTTGCTAGACCAATACTCGAATACAGCTCATTGGTCTGGAACCCACATTACGTATCTGATATTAGCACAGTTGAGAAAGTCCAGAAATATTTCACAAGAATTCTCCACTCCTCTACTCATTGTAGAATACCTTATGCCACCAGACTTGAAATTCTAGACCTAGATCAGACTTGAATTACACCATCTTCAGTCTGATCTAAGTATGGTATATAAAATCATACATTGCAATGTCCTACCTGTCAATGAATACTTCAGCTTCAACCATAACAACACAAGAGCACACAATAGATACAAACTCAAGGTTAACTGCACCAAACTTGATTGCAGGAAATATGACTTCAGCAACAGAGTGGTCAATGTCTGGAATACGCTACCTGACTCTGTCGTTTCTTCCCCAAACCCCAAAAACTTTAACCTTAGACTGTCTACTATTGACCTCACCCCTTTCCTAAGAGGTCTGTAGGGGGCATGCATAAGCGCACCAACGTGCCTACCGTCC